TTATTTATTTTTAATTATTTTTTTAATTTTATTTTTTTTACGTATTTACATTTTTTTATATTATATATAAATATATATATATAAAACAATAATTATATATATATATATTTAATCAGTATTAGTCTACGTGTAATTTGATAGTAATATATATAAATAATTATATATATTAATATTTAAATACACTTCGTGTATGTGTAAATGTGTGTGTGTGTGTGTATATATATATATATATATATATATACTTAGATCATATATATATAATATATATGATCTAAGTATATTTTATATGTAACTGTAATTTTTTATTTTTTTAGCTAATATTTTATTTTTATTACAGGACAGGGGGCAGAGACAGTGTCAGCCAGTGATTTTACATCACTGGCTGACATACAGGATCAGTGATCACAGTGACTGCCTGTCACTGTGATCACCTCCTGCAGATTGGGTAATTGGCCACAGGGGGGAGTGCCTGGGTGGTACAAGCACTCTCCCCTTCCAATCTGCAGGGGGATCTGTGTGCCAGTTACATGTGTCAGCCAATAGGCTGACACATGTAACACTGATCGCAGTGACAGGCTGTCACTGCGATCAGAGCGCTCTGAGATCGCAGTGACAGCCTGTCACTGCGATCTCAGACAGTGCAGATCGCGGTCACTGACCCCAGGGGGACTGCCTGGGGGCCAGGTAAGTCCCCCGACCGCGATCTGCATTGCAGAAAGCCGCCGGCCACGTGTGTCAGCCGATTTGAAATCGGCTGACACACGTTAAAAACTGATCGCAGTGACAGCCTATCACTGCGATCAGTGACTGCAGATCGCGGTCACCGGCCACAGGGGGGGTTGCCTGGGGGGCCGGGCATCCCCCCCGACCGCGATCTGCAGCGGGCGACTAGCGCCGGCCGCATGGGCGGCCATTAAAGTGAGGGCGTACTATTACGCCCGCCGGCGTTTAGAGCCGGCTCCTGCAGGGCGTAATAGTACGCCCTCCGGATTTAAGGGGTTAAGCAGGAACAGACTGAGCTGTGGTTTTATTGCTTCTTTTATATAAGTTTCTCCACAAGGTTACCACCCACGTGGGCCTTGTGGAATAGCCAATCATAGACAGACACACAGTTAAACACTTCCATTCATTCCAGCAAAAATCCTCCCCTCTGCCTGTGATATAATTACTGAACACAATAGGTTAACGTAATTATTACAGGCAGGAAAAATATACTTTTTACACATTTACTATAACTTTAAAAATATACATTCAATCTCTATAAAAATTACATATGCTGATATACTCCATATTCAAACATACTCAAAAATTATACAATTCCCTCCAGTGGGGGGGGAGGCGGGCCGGGTCGGGCGGCCATGCCAGCAGGCTGCATATCAAACGGGCTCCCGAGCAAACAACGGAAAAGAAGGAATATACCCACTTTACCCGACTTATACAGACCTGGGGGTCCGTGACACGAACCATCACAGCCAGCGTTTCCTCCACATGCCCGTCTCAAAGTGGCAACCCCAGAAGTGCATTCTACAAGCAAGCTCCACTAACGACCAGGGCTGGAAGAACAAATAGAACAATCATCTTTACCCACTGACCGCATGGTGCTACAGCCCTCGACAACACATCAAGGCTCGCACAACATTGCAAACTTACCCAGCAACCGGGACATTAGGACCAAGTGGAACTCATGGGGTAACCTCAAGGGACTCACCCCACGCCTGGGCATGGAACACAACCACACTACTTCAGGCTTTGCGCTGGGCTGGAGCTGGCACTGACCCCAGCCGTTCACAATAAGACGCACAATATATAGTATGCCATGAAAAGCCATACCAGATATCACTGTAGTTGCAGTCATTGAATAACGTGCATATCCTCTGCATATGACCCTGTATATAGCTTGTCTTTATTTGAGCTTTAGAGAGAAATAACTGAGGGAAATAACTGAATGTATGATGCTCTGCCTGGTGTCAGCCTGCTTTAATGAGAATCTTAGCTAAGATGGAAACCTTAATAGAACTATATATATCTTGTTAGTCAGCACTGCATAATCTGTCATAACCTAAAATGCAAACTCACTGTCTCAACTACTGCATGTCATGACTACTTAGACCAGCTGTTACTGTACAAAATGTATGTCTCTCACTTAAGCATAGTCAGACATAACCATGTCAATGTCTAGATATTGAAGCGATGACACGCGACATAAATATTAAGCCTAAGCTTAAGCCTAATTACTGACTTTACATTATAAATAAAGCATAGTGAGTTTAGTGCTTTGGAGGCACCACTAGGGGTAGTGTGTTGGAATCCATGCACTTCTGGCAGTGACATCACAGGCCAGCTACTTACCACGAATAAAAAACAAATTGTAGGAGGCATTCAGGTCTCTTTTCAAACAGTCAGTATCTCTCTTTGGTTCTGCCCTTGACTGCCTAAGAATGTAGCAGCTGATGGCCCCAGCTCCACAGGCTGAGGGCCTATGTAAGTTTGTTCATGTTTTGAATTGTACCATGTGATTCTGTTGAAACATGTTTGCAACTGTTCTAGCCTTTTGTAAGTAATATGTTGTAGTTTTGTAATGTATAATTATTGTAGTAAATTTACATTCTGCTAGCATCTGTTTACTTATTATAGTTATATTAAATATACATTTAATATTATTTTTTTTTGCATATTTACTATCCACATATTCGACCATAATACCACGAACTATAAAATATATTAATGTTGTTACTTATTGCTTAATTATTATATATTAAAATATTAATATTCATATTTAAGTCACAGCCACAACAATGTAAAATTGCTAACCGGTGCTCCCTGAATCTGACCTTTAGGGGTTTAGTGGTTTGACCCACATAGTGTAGCCCACAGGTACAGGTAAGTAGATAAACTACGAAGGGGGAATTGCAACTTATTCTTTGCTGGACCTTCAAACCCCTGTTTGAACCAGCACTCCTTCTCGAATTGGTCGCCTGCTCCATTGGTCAGCACGGACTTCCATGCAGCCAGCGGGATCCCTGCTGACGCGCGTCCCTTGTCCGGTGGATACCCACACACAGGTATCCGCCGGAGAAAGTGTTTCCCTGGGCAGCCACGTGCCTAGCCTCGTAGCTCCCAGATTTGAGAGTGACAGTGACAATAGCTCCAATAGGAGCAGGTATGATGAATCCTGACACCGGGCTCGAAGACAGTGTATGCAGGATGGTTCAGGAGTCAAATGCTCACCATGGTGGGCATTAGGTGATACGAA